CTCCGATCGGAGTTATGAAGCGTAATAGCATAGTAGTGCTGTTCCGGGGTGGCAGGTAAAAGCTCGTAGGATCGGTTCCTTTGCAAATTGGTTGCTTTGCTTTTGTCTCTAGAAGTGTTGCGGACAAAAGCAAAGCAACAAACTTGCAAAGGAACCGATCCTACGAGCTTTTACCTGCCCCCCCGGACCATCACCACTGAGCTATTACGCTTCATAACTCCGTTCGGAGAGTCGTTTAGCAGATTTGGAAGGCAGATTTGGAATCAGCGTCTGGAGACGCATCAGGAGGTATACATTTCATTTTAAACGGCCACTTCGACCTACCATCCTTCCCTTGTAAGATTGAAACGAAGGATTTGGTAACGTAATGGGCTGCCCACGAACTTTTGTGGGGCATGCCACAGAGCATAGTGAAGTTCTAAATTTGTATTATGTAGAATATATTAGTCCCGGCTTTCGACTTGACTGGAAACACTTTAATAATCAACGATTCAAATAGAAGCTGAAACATTTTGAGATGCACTCCCATTTGTTAAGAAGGATTAATTGTAATTTATTGATTCTGTAATCTTTTCAGATATAATGAGCGTTCATTTTAACATTGTGGGCGCTTGAACATGAAACACTTTGAAGAAATTCCCCATGCTAGATTCTGATCGATCGTAGATTTTCGTCGCCGGCCGTGTAAGCGCCGCCTTCAGATTCGACCGTCTCAGGGGTGGTATCAGTGTGGTAGTGGCCTGAAATATGTTTTATTTTATTTGTTTTGTATGTTTATTTGTTTTATATGTTTATCATAAGTTTATATGTTTGTTTTATTTGATGTTTTTATTTTAGCTTATAATATTTTGCCCGTAACATCGCGCACCGCATATAACAAGGGTTTTCTGAAGGACCGCCTGTGGAAATGATTTGTTTTCGTCTTAGTAAATAATATTTAAAGATCATGACCTCAGCGAGTTCAATCTGCCATTATAAAATAGATAGAATAAATAAAATAATATTCATAAAGCTCGCAGTTTAATTCAGAACATGGGGATGTTGGACCTTGCTGGCGGTGTTCACTCAATGGTATCCGTCCACCTCTGCTGAAAGGGAGAAAGAGTTTCTTCAATGGCAAGGTGCGCTAATACTAGTTTCAGGACTCGTTTGTGATCTTATGAGTCCTTTTCACCTAATACGGGGGTTGAATAATGGCAGTGAACCTAATGGTTGAATGCCGGAGCGGTTTTGATGACGTCATTGGACATCAGTAGTGAACCAGACTCCTAGACGAGCTGTCCCCGAACGCCCTTCCACTAATGAAACACAATGGCGTCATCAAAACCTCTCCGCCGCCTTCGCCATGTTCGCTTGGCTTGTCGGATTCAGTTCGCTTCCGAGCATGGAAAAATTTAAATGGGAGCATAAAATGGCCTCTACCATTCCATCACGTGGGAGTTATTGCAACGTCAAAGCGTCTGCACGATTTTAAGCACAAGTCGGATGCCACGGCGCGGCTCAGTGAGACCGATCAGGCTAAGAACTCACCCCCGTCACCCCCGTCGTTGTGGTCAGAATAACAATGAGTGTGTTCCATCCGAAGGTTGTTTCCAGGATCATATGAATGAAAGACTGTGGCGCAAACCAGCGGTGCCTTCACTTTGAACATATTGAACCAGCTCTCTACCTGAAACCTCATACTCATTACTAGGTACCTTTACCTAGAAAATTGCAAACTTGAGGATACCTCATCCATCGTTTTGAAGGAACCGGACGGGTAGTCGGGAACGATGTGTACATCTGCTTCTCCTCGAAGTAGCAAAAAGATGCCAGCCAGGGAAACGCAACTGCAAAGTAGTCAATCTGACACGGTTAATGTCTTCAACATGACTATTTGGGGTGCGCCACGAATATGACTTTAGAGCCGTGAAAAGCATGGAGTTTTTCTTTTTCCTGCGGTGGGACAATGGTTTTTCCAGCTGCCGAAAGAAAGTCGATTCCAACAAAACTAAGAAGCACCGCAGTTGTTCAGTTTGCTTTCTTAAATCGTGCGTATTTTGATGGACCTGAGTGGATGGGAGTGGCTAAAATTCATCTTGGGGAGGACGTGTTTGTAAAATTTGCAAATACAAGGTTCCATTATGTGGGCGAAATCTATTGCTCCGCTTTCCACTCATTCAACTTAGTAAGTCTACGCTCTTGTTGTTGCCCTTAAATCTTCGCCTTACCTCTGTCCATAATGCCGAGCGAGACCTTTCCGGATGCATCCTGGTAGATTCTCCTTTCCTATCCGTTCAGAGCATTTGACATGAACTGTTAATGAAATACATTTGATCGAGTTGATCATACTATTACTGTATCGCAAAGAAAATATCTCTTCCTATTAGACAGTTCACTATCTCACCCACTTCCGCTGGTCCCGGCTCTTCGGATATCGCCAAATTCGCCATCAGATTGAATTTTGGTGAATCGATAGTCAATGACTTGTACGGGGATGTGTGTCCTCCTTGTTGTATCGTTGCCTTCGATGAGATCTTAACAAGAGATTTTTGGGCGCTATACAAGTAGGGTGGGCACGGCATTTTTTGAACAGAAATGTATGTAAATGGGACTGCTGCCGCTACAATACTGCCACGAGAA